CTCAGTTTCCTCCATCTGTCTCAGTGACATCCCAGTGTTGTTGTGAGGATAAAATGAGATACTATTCGTTAAGCAATTTTCAAATCTTAAAGTGCTATAAAGATGCTAGCCACCATCACCATCACTGTCATTAATCAATTCTCTTATGGCTGACCTTCAACAATGATGACCACTGCACTGTGAGTCAGTTAATCCAGCGAAATACAACAGAAAACAGGGAGCCAGAGAATGTTTTCTGGGGACTCTCCCGCCTCGGTGTATGCACAGCTCTGAGGTCCCATTCAGGACCAGCCACTGACTTCCAGCTCTGCACCTTACTGCATACGTGAGCCTGGCCCAGTTCTTTGGGCCTCAGTTTCTTTACCTGTAAAATGAGGGAGGGACACAACCAGAGTAAACTGACTCTTGCTCCTTTACTCTTATTATTATAATATTTAATTAATATCAATATAATATTATGTCTTATTATCTTCTATAATCTTATTCCTCTCTGCTAAGACTCCTGCTCTCACATCCAGTCCCAGTTCTCACTGGGTCCTACAATGTTAGAGTTGTAAAGAGACCTAATGGTCTAGTCTAACCCCCTCATTTTGCCTAGAAAGAAACTGGAGAGGGGAGGTGAGTGTCCCAAGGTCACACAGCTCCCCAGAGGCAAAGCTAGGACCAGACCAATGGTGCTCTTTCCCCTAGGCCAAGAGGTCTCTCTCAAATGCTGGCATTTAGCATACAGATTATTTCAAGCTCCAGGTTTTCTTGATTAGATGTTCTGCCAGTGAGCTGAGAGCTGTCACATTAACCAGACCTCAGGTTTTGGAGCCGGAAGGGACCTCAGGATATCAAACACTTCATGATTCAGCTCTGATCCCATCTTCTGCAGGAGGCCTCCCCTGGGCTCCCCAGCTTACCCTCACCCGGGTGCTAACCCTCCATCAACTTCATATACATCTTTCACGTATGTGGTTGTCTGCATGCTGTCTCCTATATTAGAACGAGAGCTCCTCCAAGGCAGGGGCTCTGTTTTTGCTTTTCTTTGTATGCCTGGGGCTCAGGCCAGCATCTGGCACATAGCAGGTGCTTAGCAAACGTCTGTTGAGCAAATGGAAGAACACAGAACGTTAGTGCAAGGAGGGAGGGAGACCCCAGAAAACACAGACTTGGAGCTGGAAGGAACCGTGGAGATTATCTAATCTGATTTCCCTCATTTTACAGAAAAGGAAACAGCCCCAGAGAGGAAAAGTAGCCTGCTCCCAGTCACACAGCCGTAAGTGGCCAAGCCAGGGTTTGAACAGAGGTCTGTTCTTTTGCTCACTCTACCTCGGACTTAACATGCTCACTCAGAAACAGCTTATTAAGCACCTACCAAGGTCCAAGCTCTGTGCTTGGCACTGGAGAAACAGCAGTAAGACACAGACGGGCCCAGCCCTCGAGAATCTTATATTCTTATCACACCCTCTCCAGAAAAGGCTGCTGACCATTTACATGGAGAATTCCAGTCTCTGTAGCCATAATTCTGGCACTCGAAACATGTTTTCAAATGAATTTGTTGATCAGAATTGGGCCTCCCTATCACTAATGGTGCATGCCAGTATTCCTGCAGGGAGCGCAGGAGACCTCTCCAAGTGTGAGTCTTCCCTGCCATGGTGAGCACAAGGAAATGGAGTGGTCAGTGGCACTGTGGTCATTCAGGGGCATGGCATCAGCTCTAAGGATCAGGGCAAAGTGTCAGAAAGGTATAAACAACTGGAAAACAGTTTCATGTCTAGGCCAAGTCTGCACTAGCAAAGATGTGGGGAATTCAGATGATTTTTAGCAACGTATCTTCATGGATTTGGCTCTGGGCCATCTAGTTTAATGTCCTTATTTTACAGATGAGGAAACTGAGTCTCAGAGAAGGGAAATGACATTTTAGGTTACTCTAGTACTTAAAATACCAAGATTACAGGACTGAGCTTCTTGGGGATCCAGGTTCAGGGCAAAGGGAAGGAAGCCACACCCAAAGAGTGATGGTGTCATACGTGGACAGCAGTACCATATTCCAAAGGGGAATAGATATGGAGGTTCCCCTCCCCCCTCCAATGGACAAGCGAGTGGCTCAGATATGCAACAAGACATGCTTGATCCAAGGCCCTTGAATCACCCTGGGCTCAGACAAATATAGGATTTTAAACAGAGTCAACATGACATTAATAGGAAACTGCTACGTCCCCCTTGGCAAGACAGTGGGGCAGTCTGGACTGCTGAACTCAGGGTATTTTCTGGGTTGCCTGATAAGGAATGAGGAATGAGGGGCAAGACCCCAGGAAACTTAATTCTAACTGTGCCAAAGAAAGGAACTGGGGAAATGGCAATCTGGGCAGTGCCTGGACTTGGGGGCTCAGGCGAGCCTCAGCGCTCATGCCTCCTAAGGGCTAGAACTGTACCAGTCAAACTGGTTTTCATGATCTTACAAGAGAATTATAGGATCTCAGAGTTAGGGGCCCAACCCAAACCTGAACAAGAAATCCGTCCATAAAATACTCTACAAACCCTCACCCAGCCTTTACTTGAAGACCGCCAGAGGCAGTCCATTCTACTTTTGGACAGCTTTTTTTTCCTTTTTTAGGCAATCAAGGTTAAGTGACTTGCTCAGGGTCACACAGCTAGTAAGTGTCTGAGGCTGGATTTGAACTCAGGTCCTCCTGAGCACCTCCAGTGCCACCTAGCTGGCCCAGCTCTCTTTGTCAAGAAGGTTTTCCTTATATTGAGTCATCGGTGAGTGGCTGGGGAGACGTTGCTATTGAAGACGCACCTGCCATATTTGAAATGTTACTAGTTGGGATCATCTCGCTCAACCCTCTCATTTTACAGGGAGGTCTCAGTGGTCAAGTGACTTGCCCACAGTCACACAGGTGGTAATGACAGAGCCAGGACTGGGACACAGAGCCTCTGACTCCTAAGCCAGTGCTCTCTTCACCATTCCATGACCCTTGGTGTTTTAACCCCGGTGTGGATCTAGACAAGATCAGGGTGGGGATCAGGGGCATGACATCATCGATATTGGTTGAATTGAACTGCCTTTGGTTTGGTTTGGTTTTTAAACCAAGAATTATAAGAATTCTGACCAGTTAAGTTTTCAGGGGCTCTAAGTTACATTCGGCATAGGCCACTCTCAGCTTTCTGTAAGCTGGGGTGTGCTTCCTACAGCTCAGAATGCCAATTCAGTCGAAATGCCTGGTGACACTACAAAAAGTGATGGTTCTGGATTCACGTCCTGGTTGTGTGACCCAGGGCAAGTCACTTAATCTCCATGGGCTTCAGTTTCCCCATTTGTAAAATGGGGGGTCGGACCAGATGATCTTTGGAGTCCCCTATATATTGATGATCCTATGAACAAGAATTGTTTAAGCACCTACCAGATGCCAGATACTATTCTACTCACCAAGGTTACTAAGACAAAAATGAGAGAGTCCCTGTCCTCAGGCAGCTTACATTCTTCTTCTTCTTCTTTTTTTTTTTTTGGTAGGCCATGGGGTTAAGTAACTTGTCCAGGGTCACATAGCTAGTAAGTGTCAAGTGTCTGAATCCAGATTTGAACTCAGGTCCTCCTGACTCTAGGGCCGATGCTCTATCCACTGGCACCACCTAGCTGCCCTGGAAGCTTACATTCTAAAAGGGGGGAAAATGTATATAAATAAATGAATGAAAAAATAACATGTACATAAATAAATAAAATGAATACTAAATTGTTGTAGGTGTTAAGAGTATACAGCGCCTGGCATATAATAAGCACTTAAGTGCTTGCTGGTTGACTGACTGAATAGCATTAATAACTGGAGGAGGGGGAACAAAAAAAAAAACCGTAAAGGTCATTATGAGATTTACCTTCATATCCTATCCCCAAATGAAGTGGAAAGAGCTCTGGATGAAGGTGGAAGGTGGGGTAGGAAAGGGACACTTGGGATTCAATGCTTCTTAGTGCTCTGTGAGCATGGGTAAATTGCTCTCTGAACCTCAGTTTCCTCACCCATGCAATGGACATGAAAATAATCACACTAGAGACTAATGGGTTATTGTGGGGAAAGCCTCTCTGTTTAGAAAAAAAAGCCAAGAGGAATGTGGCCACTTCTATAATCTCCCAAAGCTCTGGGGATAAAGAAGCCTGGAGCCAATCTCTGCACTTCTCAGTTGGATATTCTGCCAGGTGAAATTGTCTGGACTTGGCTTCCCCATCAATGGGTCTGGATTTTTCCAGGGAGCCGCCTTCAGCCCATAGCTCCTGTCCCTGGGCTGTTTCATTTCAGTAGCATCACAGAATTTCAGAGTTGGAAGGGACCACAGCAGCCATCTAGTCCAACCCATACCAGAAAAGCCCCCGCATTCATTTCTCATTTTCCAGTTGAATGGCCACACCAACTACCCAGCTAGACCACGAAAAAAAAAACCGGGGGAATATTTGAGAGGCAGAAGCTAGCATCCATGTGCTGATTCACCCATCATCCGGCTATATCAACCACTTTGCTTTAGGGTTAGTTTTGCCAGCCATGTCCAGAATAGGCACTGCCCAGGCCAATCAGGTATGGTCTGAGCAAAGCAGCTTTGTCGCCATCATCTTGAAGCTAACCCTGTCTCAGGAGCCCCAACCCCAGCAAAGCAGCCCTCATACAAAGGGGATCAGAAACATACGCCAGTCTGACCCAGAACAGATAACCCAGAACCACAGCAGACAGCTCCCCAAGAGGATCTCATAGGAACCAGAATAGGGAGGGGGAACCAAGCAGCTTTGCCAGAGATGCCCCCAGATCCCTGTAGCAGATTCTGGAGGAAAGGCTAAGTAAGATAGTAACACACAAAGAACCATGTCCTTAGTGAGGGGATGATCAGCGCTCCCTGCCCCCAGGGACTGAGTATGCCAGGAAAGTAGTGACACCTGGGACATGAGAAAGGGCTAAGACCATCTTACCCCCCTCCGAACACGCCCTCTACAACACCTTCCCCACCTCGAGCCCAAAGGCTTTACTCACCGACATGAGTGATCACTGTGGCCAGCCTCTGGGTGAGCTCCTGATGGGACATTTCGTCTTCTTTTAACCAAAATAGCATTTCACAGAAGCCCTGCCCAATGATCCTCTCGAACATTAACTAATGACAACGACGGTGCGTGTTTTAAAGGTGTCCACCGCTGGGGATGCTGAGGACGCACGCTCACTCACTCACTCATTCGGGCACAAAGAGAGAACCACTCCCAGCTGAGAATGAGAGCTCTGCTCTCCCCCAGCCTCTCATTCACAGCCGGGCGATGAAAGCCATTGCATGGGATTATTACCCCCCAAAAAAGAAAAGCGAGAGAGCAAAATGCCCAACAGCAGCTTGGTGAAGTGGGCTGTCCGAGGTTACACACACACACATACGCATACACACGCACGCACACGCACACACACAGCGCAGGTCTTCGGGAAAATGAAGGACAGAACCACCCGCTAGTTCTGAGTTAGCAGCGCATATTTCTCCCCTTCCTCCTGGGGAGCTCTTGTTAATTTGTAGTCCTCAAGCCAGCCAGGGGCCAGGCTGCAGGAGCCGGATCTGATGGCAGGCACCTGCCTCCAGGGACGCTGGGGATGCAGGATGCTCTGAGTGTGCAGAGAGCAGGAACAACCCCCGAGCCAGGGCCGAAAAGGGGATTGGAGCGGGTGGGCGGGGGAGGCAGCCAGGAGGCCTCCTGATGGGCAGCTGGCGGCCTCTTCATCTCGCAGCCCAGCCCATTCCGGCCCAGCCTGAGCTCTTGCCTGGTGCCTCCCCTAGAAGCCCGCACCAGGCTGGGCTGGGCAAAGGGGTGGGGCCTGGGGCTGGGCGGAGGAGGCCGGAGGTGGGGATGCTGGGGCTTTCTGGGGAGATGCTCTCCGTTCCCAAGCTCCTTCTCCCTCCTCTCACACCGGGGAAGCTGGGTCCCCCCTGGCACGCGTCTCTCCGGGGAGACAATCTCCCCTTCCTTCCCCCAGCGCCCCCGAGGCCGGAGCTCACGGCGTGGGCACTCGATGTCCGGCTGGAGTATAGGGGCGGGAGGCGGGGGAAGGCGTGCCAAGGCTGGGGCTAAGGCGTGGGGAGGGGCTGCGAAGCCGGCTGCCCGACATCCTCCCTCCCCCTTCTTCCTCTGTCTCCCGTCCCCGCCCCAGTTCCTGCAGAGGAACTGCTGCGGGGAGGGGGTTAAGGTGGAGGGGGAAGGGAGGGTGACTGGGGAGCTTACCTCCAACGGAAGGGGACTTGGCTCGGCTTTAGGGAGTCCCCTCCTCTCAACTGAACCCCAGTCCCGGGCACCTTTAGGAGAGGGGCTGGGAAAGGGGGTAAGCCTGGGTCCAAAGGACCCTCGCCCACTAGCTCCTCGCACGGCTGGGGGCGCCCGCTCCAGATGCCAGTCTGGATTTCCTTCGAGAGGTGCTGTCAGTCTATACCCATACAAGCCCCCGCGCTGCCACGGCACACGTGATCACCCTGTGAGAAACTTGTGTGTATGTATGTATGTATACTGTACGTTTCTTGTGTGAATCAATGCACAAGTAGACATGCAAGCCTCACAGCTACACACACATACACACACCAATCGTGCATGGATGTGTGCTGCGTGTATTTGAGTTTGTCCGTACTCATACTCACATAAACTCCGTGAACACACATATCACACAGAGAGAAGATCTAGGTAGATGTGTTGTGTGTATCTGTGTGCCACACAAGCCCCTTGTGAACACACACACACTACTCATACCTAGAAATGTGGTGCCTATCTGGATATAAAAATTCCCTTCCCCCACCGCCTATCTCACGCCTAACTCCTCTGCATGCACGTCCATCAGAGAGAGCCTATGTGGGTGTATGCACAGTGTGTGTGTGCCTTTACACACACATAGATACAACTATTCCCCCACCTTATTACACATATCAAACGCAAATAATCACATGCACAGTACAGTATATGCGATGTGCATATCACAGTATGTATGCATATGCACATATGTAAATGAACCCTCTCACATTCTGACCACACATATCACACAAAGAAAGCATAGGTGTTTTGTGGTGTGTGTATACACGTATATACAAAAATACCACATACACAGGTTACAAAAAATTTGCTGATGTATATGGTATGTGTATGCACATAATATGTGTTCACAGGCACACAGCCCCCTTCTGATCACTCAGAGAGCACGTATGTGCGGACTTCTTGTGTGTGTATCTACATGCATGATACTATATAGTTTATTGGTCAGTTGATTTGTTCAGTCAACAAGCATTTCATAAATGTTTACTTAGCAGGTGCCAGGAACCCTGATGTTTTTTTCCCCTCTTTCTTTGCAGCTCAAGCTGGGCCCCCAGCCCCTCCTAGGGGGAGTGCCGTCCAGGGCTCTGGTCAGTTTGGGGGCTACCAGACATGCAACAGGACTGAGTCCCAAGGGAACCGTGGGCAGAAGCACCCAAGCCTGGGCGGAAGAGGTCAAGTGGGAGAGCCCATGGTGCCTCGCAAAGCTGTCTGGCAGGGCCAGGGCGCTCCAGAACGTTGAAGCTCTCTAGCAAACCCAGGAGCCCCACACGCTGGGCACAGTGGGAATAGCTGAGACGCAGGACTCTTCCTGTGAGGCTGGGCTGGACCACCCTGAGATTTCTGAGCCATGGCTGAGACTTGCAGCTGATGGTCCCAGATGTTCCCTCAGAAGGCTTTAGCTGCACTCTCTTCTGGCATGCGTTAAATCGCTGTGGGATATGACACCCGTCGCAGGAGCTTTTCCTCAGAGTATTTTATTTAACTTATTGAATTATTTATGATGCCCTCCACTTTAAACAACCATAAATAAACATTTATTTGCAATTATTTCACTTAAAATTAATTTCTAGGTAATAATGTTCATAATAATTTAATCAACCAATCAGAAGACACGTATTAAGTTTCTACTATGTGCCAGGCACTATATTAGGCACTGGGGCTCAGTGAAGTTGTTGCGCAGTTGGGTCCGACTCTTCCTGACTCTATTTGGGGTTTTCTTGGCAGAGTTGCTGGAGTGGTTTGCCTTTTCCTTCTCCAGCTCATTTTATAGAAGAGAAAACTGAGGCAAACAGGGTGAAGTGACTTGCCCAGGGTCTGAGGCCAGATTTAAACCCACAAAAATGATCCTTCCTGACTCTAAGCCCCCTTCCCCATCTACTGCCCTAAGGCATTCAGGCTACAAATACATAAATTAAATAGGCTTTCCTCCTAAGGAGTTTATCAGAGGAAACAAGAAGCGTATGCTAAATACAGCCAAATACACACAATAGAAGGGGGACAAAGGCACTAAAAGCTGAGAGGACCAGGAAAGCCTCATGTGAAAGGTAGTGCTTGAGTAGAGCAATGAAGGAAGCCAGGAAATGTAAATGACAGGCATATGAAAAGAGTGTGTTCTAGACATGGGAAACAGCCAGCGTAAAGGCAAGAAGACCGGAAAGGTGGGTTGGAGCCAGGTTGTAAAGAGCTTTAAATGAGTTTCTACTTGATGCTAGAGATCCTTGGGAGCCATGTTGTTTATTGAGTAGAGGGATGACAGGTCACCCGCCCACCTTGAGAGCTATGTGTCGGATGGACTGGCGTGGTGGGGAAAGGCTTCACAGACTCACAGAAGCTGAGTTGGAAGGGACCACCATGACCACCTAGTCCTGTCCATCCATGAAAGGAATCATCACTGTAATATACCCAATGCGTGGTTATCCATGCTCTGCTTTAAGAACTCCAAGGAGGAGGAGTCACTTCACTTGTGGGTAATTCTAATTAAGAAGTTTTTCCTGACTCCAAACCTAAATTGACTTCTTTGGAACTTCTACTCACTGCTCCTGATTCTGCTCTTTTGGGCCAAACAGAACATGTGGAATGGCTCGTCTCCATGACAGCCCTTCAAATGTTTGAGGACATCTTCTGTAAACTATACAAGTCTGATTCCTTTCCCCAGTCCTCAAATGACTGAAGGCAAGAGGATCAATCAGAAAGCTAGTACAATAGTCAGGCAAGAATTTCAGTAGTTCTAAATGAAAAGAGAAGGATAGATGTTGGAGAGAGACAGAGACAGAGAGACAGAGACAGAGAGAGAGGCTGGAGATGTGGAAACACAATTTGGCAATCAATCGGATGAGAAGGACGAGTGAGAAGGAAGAATCAATGACACCAAGAATGCCCAAGAGAGAGTAGTGTCATGCAAATCCAAAGAGAAGAGACTATCCAGCAGGAGAAGCTGGTCCATGCTGTCAAATGCTACAAAGGGATCAGGAAGGAAGAGGATTGAGCAAAGGTCATTTGATTTAGCTAGTAAGAGATCACCGGGAGCTTTGGAGAGAGTTTTAACAAAGCGATGAAGTAGGAAACCAGAATGTAGAAGATTCAGAAGAAAGTGAGAAGAGAGGAAATGGAAAATCAGAGGATTATAGATTTAGAGCTAGAAGGGTTCAGCCCTCTCATTTTACAAATGGGTAAACTGAGTCCTGGAGAGAGCAAATGGCTTACCCAAAATGACCTCTATAAGTAAACAGCAGGAGTGAGTCCTCTGATTCCAAATCCACCTTGCATAGAGGGTAGACAGCTTTTTCAAGGAGTGTAGCTGAGACAGGGAGGAAAGATCTAAGGCCACACACAACTTGAGGGGATGAGATGATAGGTTTTAGTAATTTTTTTTAAAAGAATGGGAGATATTTAGCTGCACTTGTGGGCAGCTGGGAAGGAATCTATAGATAAGCATTTGATGATTAGAAAGACAGCCGAGGTAATTGTGGGGAAAATCTACTGCAGAGGGAAAGGAATTTGCCCTTGGCCAGCCGCTTTCTCACCAGAGATGGCAATAAAGGTGGGGGATGATGTCAAGGGATTCTGAGAGGAGAAGAGGAGGGATCGCTGGGGGATCGGCCTCAGTTTTCTAGGTGAAGGATGGGTCAAGGTCGAGAGTTGGTCATCTTCACGCCCCCTCTTTTGTGTTGTCAATTCACCCATTTTTGTGTATGAGTTTCCATCTCATAGAGCAGTCTTCAGTGTGTTATACTACAGGACACCATTCTACTGATCTTGATTTTGGCCAGCTCAAAGAAGGGAAACTCCTTGAGAATGAGGGCTATTTGCTATTTTGTTTTTGTGTCCCTCATGTTAAAACAGTGCCATCCACACCGTGAGGAGTACATGCTTGTTGCACACAGTAGGTTCTTCATAAGCGTTTGTTGGATTGGATTGAATAGGTCTTTCCAATATTCTTTGGAATGGCCTTGCTTACTGTTAATGACAATGCAGTATTGCATCACGCTGACATACTCTGGTTTATTCAGTCACTCATATGCTATGATATAAAAAAAAAAAACTTTTAACAGAACAGCTGAAGGCCCCAGCCTCTGGGAGCCTGCAGGCTTGCTGGTTATAGTCTTCCAACGATGGGGGGTGGGGGGGTGGAAGACCTGAATTTTCTGCTCCACCACTGGCTTGGGTTGCCTTTCTGAGCTTCAGTCTAAGTCATCATTCCTCCTAACAATAGGGTAATGAATAACTGAATTAAAAGGGCTTTCTGTAAAAATGCTGGCTCACACTGTAAGAATCCATTTTATTACTTCAACAACCTGTGATGTTTTCGAGTCTGGACACTCCCTCTACCAACCTAGACCAGGTCCTCTTTCTGACTTAGAAGCTTGTCCCAGAGACTGGCTGTCAGGAGAGTCACTAACATTAGAATGTGAATGCCCCAAGGGCAGGAATTGTTTTTGCTTTTCTTTGTATCCTCAGAGATTATCACTGTACTTTTACGCTTATTGACTGACTTTTCTTGTTGTTCA